TAAACCCTAAACCCTAAACTTTTCTGGGAGTTCGAGATCATCATTACCATGCAGGGAGCTTCGGGAGCTCGCATGTTTGGCAAAAGGGTGCAATGCTGGCAGTGCCGTTGCTTGGAAGTCAGATACTTGAAGTTTAGGGTTTAGGGCCCCGAAACCCTGAGCCAATGAAGCCCCAAGCCCTTAACCCTAAACCCCTGAACCAGAGAAGACTTCAACTTTAAACCCTACACCAAATAAGCCACAAATCCTAAACCCTGAGCCCTGAACCAAAGAAGCCACAAACCCTAAAACCCAAAACCCTTGAACCAAAAAAGTTCCTTCAGGGACCTCGAGAGCAGTTGGCCATCGAAGTGCAGCGACGCCCAGGCACGGGGCTGTTCGGCATAGGCTTAGGGTTTAGGTTTTAGGGTCTAGGGTCAAGGTTTGAGGGTCTAGGGCTCAGGATTAAGGGCTTATAGGGTTTGGACTTTAGGTTTTCGGGCTTATGGGGTTTAGGTTTAGAGCTTGGGTGTAGGGGTTCAGGGCTCTAAGGATGGGTTGTAGCATTTGGGGTTTGAGGCTTTAGTGTTTAAGGTGAGCCCCAAACGTATTTTGGGATAAGGGTGTGGTGCATCACGATCAGGGTACTATGTCTCTTATCATCAGTGTTAGTATGACTACGGTTACTACTGCCATTCTCCTTATTTCTGTCCTGTTAGTGGTAAGCGCTCGGCCCGAAACGTAATTGAATTCGCATTTTTTCAGTACTATGATTATATAGTGTTAGCATTAGTGTTCTATTTATTATCAGCATCAAACCCTAAACCCTAAATCCTAAACCCTAAACCCTAAATCCTAAACCCTAAACCCTAAACCCGAGGTTGTTCCCTAGAGCTGCAGCTTCAAGCGCTCGAGCCACCAAGTCCTAGCACCACTTAAAGGATCATAGGACTTAGTACGCAGGGTTATAGCTAAGGTACCTATATTCTTTTCACTTATAACGCCAATTGAGGGACTTATAACCTTACTTCCTAAGTCCCATGATCCTCCAAGTAATCCGTGAGCCCTACACCCAAGGTTGAACCCATGGGCCCCTAGCATGGGCCCTTAACGCTGGGATCCCTATATACCTACTATGTACCCTATATGTAACCTTAAGGGTCCCTAGAAAGGCCTAAGGGCCCATATTACGGGCCCATACTTCTAACCTTAGGGTTTAGGGTTTAGGGTCCATATCAGCGGCCCATACTTCTAACCTTAGGGTTTAGGGTTTAGGGTCCATATCAGGGGCCCATACTTCTAACCTTAGGCTACACTTTCTAACCCCCACCTGTGCTCTCTCAAGGACCTACACTCTTAAGGACTTACAAGGAAGTCAGATGAAGGAACTAAGCCCTAAAACCCTAAAAGTCCTAAACCCTAAACTCCAAAACCCTGAACCCTAAAGCCCTGAACCCTAAACCCTGAAACCCTAAAGCCTAAAACCCTGAAGGGGTAGGTTTCTTAGGATCCAGGTACTGCTGCACTATATGGGGGTTTCCGAAAATAGGGGACCCTAATATAGTACGCTAAATAGTAGGATCCTTATTATAAGGACCCCCAAATAAGGTACCCTAATTTTCGGAAACTCCCATATTCCCTGAGCCCTGGATCATCTGGGCCCCTTAGGCCAGGGGGTGGCTAGTGCTTATCGGGGGTGAAGGAGCATTAGGGTTTAGGGTTTAGGGGTTTAGGGTTTAGGGTTTAGGGCTTAGGGTTTAGCATTGGCAGCAAGGATGCCCAAAACAAGAGTCACACGCCCAGCACCACCACCAACAACAACAGCAACCACAGCAGCAACTGTAAGAGACCGGAGAGCGATAATTTGCTGATTGTGCTATGGCCCGTATATGTTTATACATACACACAACATGTATGTGCGTGTATGTAACATGTGTATATATATATATATAAGCCGTAAACCCTAAACCCTAAACCTTAAACCCTAAACCCTAAACCCTAAACCCGAAACCCGAAACCCAAAACCCAAAGCCCTAAACCTAAACCCTAAACCCTAAACCCTATGTATGTATAGCACGCCGACCCCGGCCCTGAGGGTCTGAGAGGGCCCGAGCCTCGTCCGAAAGGAGCCGCACGTGCTCGAAGATCCGGGTTTTGGGGTTTAGGGTTTAGGGTTTAGGGTTCAGGGTTTAGGGTTTAGGGCTTAGGGTTTAGGGTTTAGGGTTTAGGGTTTAGGGCTCGTCCGAAAGGAGCCGCACGTGCTCGAGGATCGGGGCTTGGAGGAGGACGACACGCTGCCGTTCGCGCCCCTGAGTCGGAGCACAGCTGGAGGCGCCGAAGTCTAGGCTGTGAGTTAAATCGTATAGTTTTTGTATAGTATAGTATTGTATAGTATAGTATAGTATAGTACAGTATATAGTTGAGTAGGCTTTGAAGGTGCTTGAGGGTAGCCCAAGGATGAGTTGATGTCATATTTTTTTCGAGGTAGCTTCTTTGGGATTGGTGGCTCTGGGCTTCCGGCTTTGGAAGCTGCTAGTATCGCTGTCCTTCATCTTCCTGCCTAGTGCATGCCCAGTCGCGTGTCCACCAATTCCGGTTATCTTCGTGGAGACGCTGTATTCATGCGTGAAAAAGCCCCAAACCCTAAATCCTAAACTCCAAAGCCCTTAAAGGTTCCTGTGGCCATGGGCAAGATGGTGTCCTTGTGATGTTATCATTTTTTGTTCGTTTCTTTTTGTTGGCTAGTTGTGCTGTTTCCCCGTAGCGTTCCTGAAAAGGCTCGGTTGTAGCGATTCTGAGCACAAGTGCTGCTAGTATGTCTCGAGGCATGGACCTTTCCCACTTTCTTAGGTTATGTGGTCGTGTAGCATATTCCCTTATACGGGAATCTCTTGCAATCTGTTTCTATTCCATCCTGTTCCACTCAGCTCTGTTCTGTTCTATTCTATTCTATTCTATCCTGCTTTGTTCTATTCTATGTTGTTCTATTCTATGACGACCAAATTTAATTTTGCAGAATTTGAGACATACCATACCACATTATACTATACCATACTACACCACACTGTATGGTAGAGTACTCTGCTACACTAGATGGGTACTTCTCTAGATTAGGGTTCCTTTTTAGGTTCCCAATATAGTATGGCACCCTTATAACAAGGGACCCTTAAAGGGACCCTCATTTAGACAACTACCCAAACCATAAACCCTAAACCCTAAACCCCCCTAGACCCTAAAAAGGGACCCTACTTTAGACAACTACCAATTTTGAAAACTACCCAAAAACATACTGGATCCTCTGGGGTTCTGGAAAGTTCGAGCCTCCATTTTCGGGCACGTGGGCGTGTGGCGCCACGAAGACGAGGGGGCAGGCGGTTTGTTTGACGTGAGTCTTGCGGCAAGGGCATTTAGTTGGTAGTATATTGGGTTTAGGGTTTAGGGTAAGGTTAAGGATTAGGGTTTAGGGTTTAGGGTTTGGGGTTTGGGGTTTAAGGGTTTAGGTATACTTCAACGTCCTTCCCCCCCCCCCCGCCATTTTTCAGCCTCTGGATGCAGCGTCGGAAACCATTGCACCTACTCCCAGAACCCTGCGGCAGACTCTCTAAGGACTTTAGGAGGGACCCCTAATAGGGATTTACCCCCATAACCTACAAGGGTCCCTACTTGAAGGGTCGGGGGACTTAGTAAATGGCTATTTTATAGACTTATAAGTACTATAACCCCAATTAGGGTCCCTCTTAGGGTCCTTATAAGCCTACTTATTACCTACTTACTAAGTCTCCCGACCCTCCAAGTATTAAGGGTCCCCCCTAAAGCCCCTAGAGACTCGAGAGTCTTGCCATGACAACTCTCGCGCTCAGGCAGGTGCATCTCTGAGTCCTTGCTGCTCAATGACATGAACCCTAAACCCTATAAACCCTAAACCCTGAACCTTAAACCCTGAACCTTAAAACCCTAAACCCTAAACCCTGAACCCTAAACCCGAAATCCTTAAACTGACATGCCTTCCATGAAGTTCCGAAGTTCTGAAGCCCCGGAGAGGTGCTTTCCGCACTTCCCACACCCTGGGCTTGAGCCGTCCCTCGGAGCAGATGCGCAGCCGCCGCGACGCTGTGCGGCATTTCGGCGGTTTAGGGTTTAGGGTTTAGGGTTTAGGGTTTAGGGTTTAGGGTTTAGGTTTAGGGTTTAGGGTTTAGGTTTAAAAGTTTAGGACTGGGCCATGAAGAGAGAGACTGTGTCTCTTTATACACAAGTAAATCAGTCTGTGCACATAAGACAGGTACATATTTTGTAAGTGTAGACATTCGGCATGGTTGAGAGTCACTAAGACACATCGCAACGGGCGTGTTCTGTCAAGCCATGTGGACTCAGATGCGCGGCTCCACTGATGTCAATGGGACAAACGTTCTTTTCAGCGAAGTTGGCAACAGTATGTTAAGCGTGGGCCTCGGTGTGATGCAGTCCACTAACGGGAAAATGTGATTCCGCGACCTGGCGCAGGTTGTCGGAATAGGAGCCTTCGAACGACTCGTTTTACAGCCACTTGGGGACAGTCCTTGCCTAAGCCCTAAGCTGAATCACTGACATATACATCATACTATACCATACTCGACTAGACGATACTACACAATACTGTCTTGTGTACGACGATCCGATACCATACCCTACCATGCCATGCTATAGTGTCTCTATTATGCAAAGCCACAGCCGAAGCCCTGAGCTGAGCTCTGCACTCCTGCAACTCCCCAAGGGCTCCTATGTAGTTCATTTTTGGATAGTATACTATAATTCCCTACCAAAAAACCATAACAAACCCAAAAAGGAACTACATTGGAGCCCCTGGGTCTCGACCCTGTGACAGACCAGGAAGTGGCGACCTGGGGCGGCAGCGGCTTCGTGGCCCCAGGCAGTGGGTGTGCAATGTGGGAGTTTCCGAAAATTAGGGGTACCTTACTTTGGGGCCCTTATAATAAGGATCCTACTATTTAGGGTGCTATAGTAGGGTTTAGGGTTTAGGTTCAAACTTTGTTGGGACCCTTATAATAAGGATCCTACTATTTGGGGGTACTATATTAGGGTCCCCTATTTTCGGAAACCTCCATGTCCTCTCGTCGCAAGAAAGCGAAGAGGGAGCCGAATACGTCAAAGGCGATCCTAGGACTGATGAACAGCGACAGTACTCCGTTCAGCAACGACCTCACGTATCAGGAAAATACCGGCCGTCCAGTTTGACTGGCACCCTGCAGAGTGCCTGCGCAAACAGCCGGTTGGACAACCAACACGTGGGACTTGCGCAGGCCACGTGGCCATCTGTGTCTACTCGCATCGGGTCGTGTTGGGTTTTCTATGTCTTCTGCACTGGTATGTACTACCTTAAGTTAGAGGCAACGTCTTGGCCTGGTGGTGGCCTAGTGGGCAGTTGATGTGAGCAGCTGAGCAGTTTTGATGATTAGTTCTACACACATTGATAAGAAGCGCTTCCTTGTTTGTTTCTCTGTTTCTCATTCATTCTCTCTATTTGGCGATGAGCAGCCATTGCCAAGATAAGTCGAATGTTGAAAGCACGCACGCTTCAACACGGAAGCAAACGTCCAAGATTCATTTGCAAAACATGGAATATGAACATCTGTGAGGGAATAGGAATGGGCTAGTATGATAAAGCACGGAAGCAGATGAGGCATCTCTGCTTTGGTATTCTACAGCACGTTGCGAATTGTGCCTGGAAGCCCCGAACCCTAAACGCCAAAGCCGTAAGCCTCTAACATCCCATGGAACATTTTGAATCAGAGCCCTGCGAGCCCCGGGGAACCCCCCCTGCCAAAGCCAAGTATCCGAACAGAGCAGAAAGCACAACGTCAACCCCTCAGCCTAAAGCCCAAAGTCTAGAAAACCCAAGCTCTCTCAAGCCCACAGCAGAAGCCCCGCGGTAGGTGAGAAGCTGCTGTCCAAGGCCCAGGCATTGAACACCAGGAGCTGCGCTGCAAGAGTCAAACCTTGGTAGGCTGCCTCTCGTTGTGCCGTTTCTCGAGTCTACCATGCAATCACACTGACAACGACCGCTCCTCTTGCTGCAGCTACTTCTGCTAGGCTGCTAGCCCTGAATGGGATAGCTGCAGCCGCATCAACAGCAGTATCGGCAGCAGAAGGAAGCAGAGCAGCGACACATTGCCAGATCCGGATCCAGGAGCCTGGGAGGTGTTCCCCCGCCGAAGTCTGCGGCAAAGGCAGGGTTTTTCCGGCGCGGGGCTTGTTGGGGTTTTGTAAACCCTAAACCCTAAACCCTAAACTAGAGGTTTTAGGGATGTTAAGGTTTGGGGCTTAGGGGTTGTAGGGTTTAGGCGACTTAGGGGGGTTTAGGAATTTCGGGGTGCACTCTTCGTCTTCGCTTCTGATTGCTACGCAGCCTCGTCGAAGACCCCCTACATGCCCAAAGTCTTGAGGGGTCTTGCAGGATTTGTACCTAGGCCTCGAACCCTAGGATTACAAGCCCCAAAACTGCTCACCCAAGACCCTAAGACCCCAAGCAGTCCTGCTCCGTAAGCCCTAAACCCCAAACCCGAAACCTCAAAAGGTACAGGAGCCCTTCAACTCGAAATCCCAAAAACCCTCAAACCCTAAAACCCTCAAACCCTAAAACCCTAAAGCCCTAAACCCTTAACCCATCCGAAACCTCTAAACCTATCCGAAACCCCTAAACCCATCCGAAACCCCCTGAAACCTTCCGAAACCCCTAAACCC